GGTGGCACCTTATAAAGTAACTCATTCAAAAAGGTATGAGCTTTCCTAGGCTACAGCCTACTTTACTAGATGCAGTGAACGGCGTGACAAAGTAGCCTGTAGCCTAGGAAAGCTCATGCCTCTCTGAAGGTGTTGGCTATCCTGCCCTAACTTCCGCCTGACTTCAGTCTAACATGGGTAGCTGCCTCTGTCCTTTATGCAATGCAGGGAGGCAAAGAAAGTGCAAATGTGGACAGAAGGTATTAACACGTTGACAAGCACTATCCGTGTTTTGAGAAATGTACAGAAAAGAAGGCAACTCTGTGAAGAAAAGGGAAAAATGACTTGGGGAGATGCTCACTTGTTTGGGAAAACACTGACTAAATCAGATGACATGCACTGGGCCACATCCAGTGCTTACACCCCATGCATTTCTGTCTGGGCTGCTTTGCTGGGGCACTTTGCCTGATTCAGGGCAGCTCTAACGTAAATGTTAAATACTGCTGGTCAGAAAGAAAATGGCACAGTAACAGTTTTATTAGTGCAGTAAAATGAAGATAAAGTTGACATGTGCCTCTCCCTCTCCTTCCACTCAATGCCTACTCATAGCTTCAGTCTTGGGCTGAAGAATTCAAGCTTTCTTCCCCTGGCCAAGCTAGTCTGAGCTAAGAAATCTCACTGAAGGGGTTAGATGTTGCTTGTGTGATGCTAGTTCTCTTGTGTCTGCTGTGCCAGTTTGAAAGCAAAGTAGATATTAGGGAAAACTTTCTGACTCTGGGGTGGTTGAGTACTGGACCAGATTACCAGAGCCTGTGAAATCTCTGTCACTAGACATTTTGAGAGTAGGTTAAATAAACACTTCTCTAAGGTGGTTTAGCTGGAGATGGCTCAGTCTTGAGCAGTGGGTTCAATTAGCTGACCTCTCAAAGTCCCTTCCAGACCCATTTTCCTATGGCCCTTTGAACTGAGGATGGTTTTATCCGGTGTTGTCATCCCAGGCTTTACCTATGTCTGAACACCAAAGGGCTGCATCCTTCTGAAGACGTCTGTACTAAGAACAAGCAACATGGCCTCTTTTGCTCGAACTTCAGATATGCTAGTTTTCTGCTTGCACTTTTATGCATTTTCCCCCCACCCTAACATTCACGTTGGACATGATCCTGACTCAGTACTTGATGTACCAAGTGGCTTGTTTCATCTGACTTCCCAAAACATTTGAGTGCGGTAATACTGTTTCTGTTCATTTTGTTGGGGCTGAATTCCTCTCTGAGGTGCTGCTGGCGCAGTTTTTGCCTCCCCGCTTGCTTCCTGTTTAACACCTTATGCACACCTATCTATGTCCTTTGGAACGGCAGGCAATACTAATAAAACCAGCTGCAGAGTGGGTGAGTGGATTCACTAAGGGAATTTTGTTTCTCCGTCCATATTCCCTCCCATGTCATACAGAAGAAAATACCGTGCATGACTTAAAACAGGAATTTATTGAAGACTTGTAAGAGACTTTTTAAAAAATTCTGTAACTTGCTGGTGAGCCAAAAATGTGAGTGGTGGAGAAATGCTATCCCGCTCACTGTTAGCTGAGAGCTCTACAGCGAGGAGAAAGCCCAGTATTGCTTTTTCTTAAAGTGTTATATTTTGTTCTTACAGTGGCACATCCTCAAGAGCCTCACCACCCTGCTGAGAAGCCAGTTATCCACTGCCATAAATGTGGGGAGCCGTGTAAAGGTGAAGTGCTTCGTGTCCAGGCCAGACACTTTCACATCAAGTGTTTCACCTGCAAAGGTAAAGTATTCACATCTACTTGTAGTAAATGGATCATTGCGTGCAAATGTTTCAGACCAGTTCATCTGAATAAATGGTGAAGGGTTAATCTTGGATATTGTCTTTGAAGCCAACAACCCGCAGCTGTTGCCTATCAAGAGACATCTGTATTGCTTAAAATACAGTCCTAGACCTTGTGGGCGGGAAAGGTGAAGGAGATGAATGGTGAGCTGGCTGAGTCACAAGCAGAAATGCACCCAGCTGAGTGGCACGAAAAGGAACAAATTCTCCAAGCAAACATTTATGTATGCAGAGTTTTTATTTAAAATGGATGAAACTAACAGCCAGCTACTTGTTGTTTTTTGTTATACCGATCACCATTAAAAAAATATAATCAACTCAAAATAATTGCATTTGCTCTGAATATTTCAGACCATTGTTACAAGTCACACTTAAATTACTGAGATTTTTTTTTCAATTTTATATACTTTGTACAGTGCTCTGCATGTAATCATTGTCCCCATTTCTCCTATATGGTCAGTCACCTGTGCCGTGATCCAAGCTTGCTTATATTAAGACCTTCATCAGTTAGCTTGATATCAATCCTTGGTTAAAAACCAAGATGACAAAAGGTACAAAAGTTATCAGGGACTAGTGTACAGCGCTGGCTGAGTGAGGGACATTTCTTTGGAACATTTCTTTGGAACAGTGCACTAGCAACCCTCTCTTTTTGTTTGAGGGATACGAGGATATGTAACTTTTTGCATGTGATTTTCAAACAAGCAGGATGGCATCGAAGAACTGTGGGACCCCAAATTTTATCCAGTTGCTGAGGTTAAAAAGCAGTGACATCACACACACACGCACACACTGAGAGGGAAAACTAGACGCGAGTTTGGGGGGGGCGGGAAATGTGGTATCACTCACTCACCTGGGTTTTACACGAGACTCTTGGCAGCTGAAGGATGTAGGTGTGTTGTGAGTTGTTACTAAAATGGAACTGGCTTCATATCCTAGAGAAGAATGTTTGAAAGGGATCTTCATTTGGAAAGCTCTGTCACTACAAAGTAAATCCAGCATAACTTATTATTGAAAAGGAGCCCAGTCTGTGCTATATATGACCCTGGATACTTAAAAGAGACTTCTTAATGCTGTTGTCCCAGCAGTTGCTTGTTGAAAAGAGGAGGCATTGTCTAGCTGTCAGAGCTGGGACCTGTGAGTCAGGCATTCTGAGCTGTTCATGCATATAGCACCGACTCTCTATGTGTCCTTGAGAAAGTCAAGTAACTTCTCGGTGCCTGTTTCATGACTGTGAAAGCCTCTTGAGAAGCTTTAATTAATGACTGGAAAGAATGTTAGGATCATCAGATGAAAGGCACTCTGTAAGTGCAAGATATCATTGCGGTTCATTATGAAGTTTTTACCTTTGTGGCTATGAGGGCATTTGATGGACTGAGGTGGTAACCCCCTATGTAGAATGAGTAGGAGAAGTGGTGTATCTAGGAGAAAAGGTACAGCTTCTGCTGAAACGAGATTTCCCATGTACACCCGGTATTCACTACGTTTGGTCCCAAAGTCTTATGGCATTGACTTGCACCTGAACACTTTGCTGTCTCTCTTGCTCTGTTTCTGTTAGGGAAATGTGTAAGCGTTCTGGCTGCACTGGCAGAAGATTTACAGTGGATAGGGGAGAGGTGGTGTTTGCCCTGCAGGCTGCCCTGGTGGTGATACAAAGATAGGAGAAACACAGCTGCTGACGACCTGTATGGAGGTTGTGTACTTCTGTGTCTATCCTGTTATGAAGAATGTCCAGCTGATTTTTTCTCCTATGCTTCCAATGGCCCATGTTTATTGAGGACGAAGTGATTTAACCTGCATTATGTTCACTTAGATTATTTAAGGTTAGAGACTGAAAAGACCTGCTTTAGGTATCTCAGTAAATGGCCTGAGCCTCTGAGAGACTGAGCCACCTACGGGTCTTATGGGCAGCAGTGGATATTGGGGACATGCTGTCTGCAAATTAGACCCCTTTTATTTAGGAGCCTAAAATGGTCTTGGCTATCCAGAATTAGGTACTTTTCTGGGAAAATGTTGGTTCCAGCCTATTACTGGTGCTGGTGCAGCACTGGCCCCTGTGATGCAGCAGTTCAGTTTTGTAAGAGATTCCTAAGTATTGGTACAGCGCAGCTATTTAATACAAAGTCACTTTTACTATATGAATCTAATTGTGTACATAAATGCAGCTGGTCCCGGGGTGTCTGAGGTGAGTTGGTCCGTAAGCTTGGTGTAGGTAAGGCACTCCAATATCCATAGCCAGTGGAAGAGGAAGGGGTCATGTGACCACTGCTTTATATACAGCCACTTCTGACCCCTGCATGATGATCACCGAGAGCCAGGTCAGTTGGGGTGGTCTTTGGCATGAGCCCAAAGTGAAGCTTGAACTCACACTGCAGGAACTGTATTGAAGCACTTTAACTATTTGCCGCTGAGGCTCATATAAATACTGTAAACGTAAGTATTTTATGAAAACTAAGCTTTCGAAAACAGAATGAGCCATAAGGCTTTTGTGCACTGAAACTACACTGCCAGCTGATAGGCCATAGATAACCGATTATTTTTTCCTTCTGCTGTGTGATCCTCTAATTCAGTGATAGGAGGAGGAGAGAGGGAACCAGAGAAATGCAACTTGATCGTTTTTTGTTGTTCAGAACCTTCCTTTTATGGAGAAATAATAAAACATGAACACATATTATCTCCAAACTCTCAACTGTGGGACCAAGACACTTGGATTACGTTTTCATTTTTACAATTACTAAATAATGTTTTTAAATCTAAATTCCAGTTTAGATTTGGTCCTAGTATCCAAAATGTGACTCTTGGCTGGCTGGGGAACACGCTATTATTTTCCAACTATGTGGTCATGCCCTGGTATGTTGGATCTGCTCCTTTGCATTTGTGTCGGTATTATCAGCAATACAACGAAGGCTCTCAAGGATGTGCAGAGAAACAGAAGCTGCACATTTGTTTTCAACAGACATATAAGCTGCATACGAAGTTCACAGAAGACAAAGGGGTTTTGTTCAATGCTGAGTTATTCTGCTTTACTCTGGTGTAACTCTGTCCAAGTGGCTGCAGTGGTGTAAAACAGTGAGGTATAAAAGTAGGGGTGGCCAATGCGTGGCACATGTGGGAGGGGGCAGGCAGTGCAGGGCAGACAGGGAAGGAAGCAGAATCAGGGCAGCAGATGGGGCAGGGAGCAAAAAGAAGAGCAGCAGATAGGGCAGGGGAAGCAGATCAAGTTGCACTTGTGGAGGGGGTTAAAACCCAAATTGGCCCATTGCAGTGAAAGACAATTGGGTTGTGTTTGGGCACTAGCTCTTGCTATTGGAGGATCAAGGATTTCTAGGGGCCAACCAAATTTGAGGGGGCTGCCCCCCAATTTGCAGGTAGAGCATGGCAGGCCCCCACATGCCTCTGGCTGAGGGGTCCTGGTGGCCCCACTCCTTGTCACTGATTGGCTGCGAGAGCTGCCTGTCCTACTGCCTTACCCCTTGCTGCTGATTGGTGGAAAGGGGTGGGGCCCCCATGACAGGCAGCCCTCAGCCAATCAGCAGCAAGGGGCAAGGATGGCAGTCATCTTGCCAGCAGCCCTTGGCAGGGGAGCCCCCACTTCCTCTTTCCCCACCCCAGCAGGCTCCTTTGGCTCCCTTTGGGGAGCAAGAACTTTATTTTTCATAAGTTTGCTTTTTTTCCCCCTGTGGATTTTGTGGGCATTGCTTGCTTTCACAGGCAATGCTGAAGTTTGCAAAATCTGCAAAATCGCAAATTTGGTAGGTCCCTATGTCAGCAGAGATTTGACTAGTTAGCATTTTAATAGTGCAGCTTGAGGCTAAGGGTGTTGAAGTACCTGCTATTCACATGGTACTTGCAATAATAAATCTGCTTAGAAGCTAGCAGATCAACATGCGTCAGTACAATGTTCACACAACAAAAACCTGTATGCAGAACTGCATCCACATCTCAGGAGAGTGAGGGATCTCTGAATTCACAAGCTTTTAGGAGTGGTCACAGACAAGTAGCTGTAAAATATTTGATGCCTGAACCAAGACCTGGTGAAGTCCAGTGTAAAGTCTCCTTGCAGGAGGCTACTGAAGGCAATGGCACCTGTTACAGATGTACGGACAGTTCGTTCATCGGTAGGGGTCCGTCTGGGACCCCAGCACCACTATACGTCCTCTACCCTGAAATGATTTGCACTTTGAAAATCACATAGACAAGTTGAAAGGACAGTCCAGAAAATCAGGCCCCAAAATAACTCTCACACAAAGTCAAAGAGTAGAATAATCACTTTTTGAAGTCTTATTGGGAACATTCTCAGCCAAACACAGCTTTTAGTTAAGAGCCGTCTCTTATTTTGTGCACATCTGAAGGCAGAACAGAAACATAAAGGCTTCCCATTGTTATTCTCAGCCTTGTACATAAATTCTAAGGATGAAAGTTGACACCTTTTAATTGCATCATTTAAATGTCTTCCTTGCAATTAAATGTTGCCATTTAAGTTGTTGTTCAGGAAGGTGACAGGAAAGCTGGGGCAGACAAGGTTCTTTGGGTAAATGTGGTATCTTTTATTAGAGCAACTGAATAGTTGGAAAAATTGTTCTTTACAAGCTTTCAGGCCCAAGCACCCTTCTTCAGGCATAGGGAGAGTCTGCTGGTGACTGTGTACTCCCTAGGGTGGAATAGGCGCTTAAGGCAATATGCAAAATGCAGGTCTGTGAAAATGCAGATGTGTGGCAGGGAAGATCAGAGGGGATGGAGGTCAATGGATGTGATTCAGGCAGGTGGTAGGGTGGGAAAACAAAAGAGGGGATTGTTGACCTGGGGTAAAATGTAGCTGGTAAAATGTAGAGCAGTTATCTGGGGTTATCAGATGTCAGGTAGGTTATAAAATGCCATAAATCCAGGGTCTATATTTAGTCAATGGTTTTTTGTATCCACGAGATTTTTGAAGTTTGTAGGCT